CCTTGAACTGTCGCAAATCATTCTGGATGAACGCCCGTATGGGTTCCGCAATCAACGAGTCAGACTTCTTAACAGTAGATATGACAGCGTTCCAAAAATCCTTCACAATCTCCCCGTGTCGTCTCAAGGCAAAGAATGCATAATCATGATCTATGGCCGCTTCCGAGATGGTGGTCGGGGCTGGGATATTGGAGATCAACGCGTTTGCCGCAGTTTCAAGCGACGCGAGCTCCGAGTTCAGCCTGACGGCGCTCCTGGCCACTCCATCCAGCCATTTCTCCACAAGATCGATCTGCTCAGCGAAATGCAAGGCGCTTGCGCGAAAGGTCGGTGAATCGAGAGCGGCCTCCTTCAGGCCCACCGGGCTGGTTGCAAATTACCCTGTGTTAGCCAGCTACATTCCCAGCAAACCAAGAAAATAAACAAAATAAATATACATGGTACTGATGGGGTTCGCATCCTGGGTGCCAGAGGAGGACGCTGGCTGGGATGCGGCCATGTAGCAAACAGTCTATGGGAAATACACCGCCGTTTCCATAGATCAGGAGGAAGGGGTTGTTTCAAATAACCAAGCAATTATGACTGGTTAGCGGATAGGCGCATTATATGAACACACACGCATATATATATATATATATATATATATACGAAAGCATGAGATATGTCAGAGGAAAGGTGTTGTATGTGGCAATGGCGGTGGTGGGCCGCTGTGGGACAATCCGCAGCTCGCCCTTGACCAAACTCTGGCGGCCACAGCGACCCCAGCTCCCGCACACCGCTCTCCTCCCATTGGCCGCGAGGGATGAGGCTAAATAAATACAGTCAAGAAGGGGAAAAAATAACCCACCAAGAAAAAATTAATACTTTGTTTGTAGGGCTGGATTTCGCGCCACCAACCAAGCGCTTTTTATTTCTCGTCTCAGTTTTCCTTGTTGCATCCTATTGTTATTGCTCTCGTTAGTATTGACTGCCATTGTCTTGCTCTATTTTATCTGTCCTGTTTCAGCGTTGTTGGTCGAGAAATGGAGCCGCCAGCCAAGAAGCAGAAGAAACTGCTCATGGACGATGACAGCTCCAATGACAGCAGCGATGATGGAGAAGCCCTGCTCGACAATGGAAATAACATCGGGTTCAAAGTCAACGAGGAGTACGCGAAGCGGTTTGAGTATAACAAAAAAAGAGAAGAATTACAACAGTGTGCGTTTTTCCCCTCTCCTTTTCGAGATCTATTTCTATTTCTCTCTCCTTTCCTTTTGTTTTTTTCTTTCCTTTCCTTTCCTTTTCTTTCTTTTCTTTTTTTTTTGTCTTTCCTTCTACTTTCCGAAAATTGCCCACTGACACTTTTTAAAAAAAATATCTATAGTGGAGGACAAATACGGCAAAACAACCGGCCTTGGGAAGCGCAAAAAGCTGGCGGATGACGATGCTGACACGTCAGATCGATCCGAAGAAGACGAGGGGGAATCATCCTCTGAATCCGAAGATGAAGATGATGAAGGAGTGTTAGCAACCGAAGACCTCGACCGCGAAATTTTTGATACATTAAACGCTATCCGCTCCAAGGACCCCAGGGTCTACGATGCCAATGTCAAATTCTACAGCGAAATCAAAGAAACAGAAGATGAGTTGAAGTCATCATCAGCTAAGAAGGAGAAGCCTATGTTCATACGCGATTACCATAGAGAAAATCTGCTGCGCGGCGGCGCCAATGGTGGCGAGAAGGAAGCGGAGGAGGAACCAAAGACCTTTGCACAAGAACAGGCAGATCTGAAACGGGAGATTATCAAAGAAATGCACGCCACCAATGATGCAAGTGATGGAGGCAGCGAGGGCGAGGATGAGGAGGGCGGCTTCCTCATTCCGAAGACAAAGCCAACTGTCCCTGATATTACAAAAGCACCTGTGCTAGATGTCGAATCTGCAGACAAAGACCCTGAAACCTTCCTGTCCAACTTCTTGAAATCCAGGGCCTGGGTCCCTACCGAAAAATCGAAATTCCAGCCCCTAGAATCCGATGACGAGGAAGAAGAGCAGCAGGCCGAGGCCTTCGAAGAAGCATACAACTTCCGTTTCGAGGATCCCAATAAAATCAACGAGGTGCTCGTGTCGCATTCTCGAGACACTACGTCCAAATTATCTGTCAGGAGAGAAGACCAAAGTAGCAGGAAGAAGAAAAGACAGGCCGAACGGCTGAAGAAGGAAGAGGAAAAGAAGAAGCGTGATGCGGAGCGGAACCGTCTACGGAAACTGAAAATCGAGCAGCTTGAGGAGAAGATTGAGAAGATCAAGGCAGCCGCAGGCCTGCGAACGTCAGATTTCAGTGAGGAGGATTGGGCACGTTTTTTGGATGATGGATGGGACGATGCCAAGTGGGAGGAGGAGATGGAGAAGCGATTTGGTGAGAAGTACTACGCTGAGGCCGAAAATGGTGATGATACTAGTAGTGGTGGAGGATTACATGATGGCTCCAAGAAACGAAAGCTGAAGAAGCCCAAGTGGGATGACGATATCGACATCAAGGACTTGGTTCCGGATTTCGATGACGAAGAGGGGGAGATGCCCCAGCTTAGTGACATGGACATGCAAGATGCAGCGCACGAGGGTGGGGATGAAGGAATCAATGGCGATGGCGATGAAGAGGATGCCGCTAAACCCAAATCCTACAAGCACAAGAAAAAGCAAGCCCTGCAGGAGAAAAAGGAGAAGCAAAAGGAAGCACGAAAGGAACGCCGGAAAATCGAACAGCTCGTCGACAAGAGCCTTGACCTTGACCTCGATACAGTCATGCTCCCCGGCGCCTCCAAGAAATACAGCGGCCAGTTCCGCTACCGCGAGACGTCACCAGTTAGCTTCGGACTGACTGCGCGAGACATCCTCATGGCGGATGACAGCGCTTTGAACCAATTTGCGGGCTTGAAGAAACTGGCGTCATTCCGTGACCCGGAACGCAAGAAAAAGGACTTCAAGAAGCTGGGCAAGAAAGCACGACTACGGCAGTGGCGCAAGGAGACGTTTGGTGATGAGAACGGAACCCCTGCCGACTTTGCGTTGCCGCTAACGGCCCCAGAGAGTACATCGGCCCGTTCGGAGGGGAAACAACATGCGACAGATAAGAATAAAGATGATGGGGCGATGACGGTGGATATTCGAGACGGAAAAAAGAAGCGGAAGCGGTCTAAGAAGAAGAAGCGTCAAGAGGGGCTGGCTCAGGCATAGTAGTGGGCTGGAGCTACAATACTTTTTACGAATGTGCCGATATTGACGTCGGATGTAGGTATAAGATCTTTGCAATGAATTTCATTTAATTGACAGTTTCTTCAATAATCTTACTTTGTTCTATCATCAAGTAATCAGCAGAGGCTTTCTTTCATTTGCATCACCGACGTCTTGTGTATCACGCATCAGTTGAAGTCCCCCCCAATCCCGTACTCGTACATAGTACACTACACTCTCGATTACCAGAGGTCAAAACCAACAAGAATACATGATAATTGCACAGAGTATATGTTGCTGTATGTGTACAATATTCGTCGAATTTGCCCACCATGCACAAAAATAGACAAAACTTTCGCCAAAAACAGGAGAACAAAAATTTTTTTGGGTTCCACGCCACCTTTCTGGAAGAGCGACGAGAGACCTACCGTAGCTAGCCAATTAGACCCATGATAATATTCTGAATCCACCTTCTTAGCCAGCTGCGTTCTCTCCTGGCGACAACGGCCGAGGGTTGGCATGCGACGTACATAGTAGTGTCGAGATAGGTGGAAGGGTGGTGGCATAGAGGTTATATAGGTGCATGTACTCGTCGGTAACTCGTTCAACGCAGAACAACATTCCGAGAGTCAATGTTCTCCGGCCATATCTCGTAAGACTCTGCATCCTAAATCTCCTCTCCCACAGTGGCCAGTGTCCCAGTTGGCCCCAGCATGCTCTTCTCCACCTCTCTCTCTCGCGCTTTTCTATCGCCGTTTGTTGTTCGGGAGATCTCGGCTTGAGGCAGCGTGGCCCAAAGCGGCTTAGCGCGGCAGAAAACCCTTCGCCCTGCCAACCGATTTTATTTCTTCCAAACTTTTTCTTTTCTTTCTCCGTCAGATTTTTTCTCCTCGTTTCTTCTTCTCCCATCCCCAGCACATCCCACCGTGAGGCTTCTGTCTTCGTTGCCCTACTCTCCAATCTCCCCTCCATCCTTCTCTCTTTCTCTCTTTCTTTAGTGCTGTTTCGTTTTTCACACAGCCCAAAATGGCCAAGCAGCAAGATAAGTCCTTCATGGGCATGCCCGTAAGTTACCTCCTCCCTCCATCCACTATGGGGAAAGGAGTCAATATTTTCTCGAATTGGGCCATGCGCAATCGCGTCGTGTTCGTTTTGATGGCGGGTAGCATCGCTACAGGCCCTTGGGAATCGACGCTGCGATGATGGCCCCTTCGATATGCTCCAAACCTCGGTTGACGATGGCTGTTGATGACCATCTTTTTTTGCAAACATATGGCGGCTAACGTTTTGTCATTTTTTACTTTTCCATCTCCAGGGCTTCGTGGTCGACTTCATGAGTATGTAGCCTATCGTCCTTATCGTGTTGGTTGGATGATAGCAGTCGTCGCGGAGCCGCGTCTGCTGTCGTTGTGAACAGATTGTCAACTAACACGGTTTTGCTTGCTACAGTGGGTGGTGTCTCCGCCGCCGTCTCGAAGACTGCCGCCGCCCCCATCGAGCGTATCAAGCTCCTCATTCAGAACCAGGTACGTCGCTTAAGCACATTAATGACAACTTTTTGTTATTGTAAAAAAAAATTTACAATTTTTTTTTTCAAATTATTTTCTCGTGATTGTGCTAACCATTATTCAATGTAGGACGAGATGTTGAAATCCGGTCGTCTTGATCGCAAATACAACGGTATCATTGACTGCTTCAGCAGAACTGCCAAGAATGAGGGTGTCGTCTCCTTGTGGAGAGGAAACACTGCCAACGTCATCCGTTATTTCCCAACCCAGGCCCTCAACTTTGCTTTCCGTGATACCTACAAGTCCATGTTCAACTTCAAGAAGGACCGAGATGGATATGCTAAGTGGATGGCTGGTAACCTGGCCTCTGGTGGTGTAAGTATTCACGCGACCAACCCAATACCACTTTTTTCAATCAAGCAATCCCGGCTAATTGATATCCTCAGGCTGCTGGTGCCACTTCCTTGCTCTTCGTTTACTCCCTCGACTATGCCCGTACCCGTCTTGCCAACGATGCCAAGAGCTCCAAGGGTACTGGCGAACGTCAATTCAACGGCCTGATTGACGTCTACAAGAAGACTCTCAAATCTGACGGTATCGCCGGTCTCTACCGTGGTTTCGGCCCCTCCGTCCTTGGAATTGTTGTCTACCGTGGTCTCTACTTCGGCATGTACGACTCCATCAAACCCGTCCTCCTCGTTGGTCCCCTTGAGGGCAGCTTCATCGCCTCCTTCCTGCTCGGCTGGGGTGTCACCACTGGTGCTGGTATTGCTTCTTATCCTCTGGACACTATCCGTCGTCGTATGATGATGACGTCTGGTGAAGTATGTATACTCTTTTTAGTCCACCCTAATTATTACTATTGTTCGCGAAGTTTTTTTCTTTTTCTTTGGCTGACCTCCGTTTCCTTTTCCAACACGTAAAGGCTGTTAAATACTCCTCGTCCTTCGATGCCGCCCGAAAGATCGCCGCTGCGGAGGGTGTCCGATCATTCTTCAAGGGTGCCGGTGCTAACATCCTCCGTGGTGTCGCCGGTGCTGGTGTGCTCTCCATCTACGACCAAGTCCAGCTGATCCTCTTTGGCAAGGCCTTCAAATAAGCGCATGTATTATACCACAAATTCCTTCAATATTAATTCCTTGTCGTTGAGGGGATGGAGCCGGCAGAGAGTGGTGTGAGCGAAGTTTTGTGTGTGGTGTGGTTTTGAGTGAGCGGTGGCGCAACCGGAGTGTCGTATGGGAGAGGAAGGTGAAAAAGAAGAAAAAAAGGCAAAAGAAACAAAAAAAAGATAGAAGATATGCATCAAGAACTGTCTCCTTTTCTTTTATCTTGGATGCATGGTAACAAACAAATATGGCTTCTTTTTTTTTTCTTCTTTTAAAACATATTGTAACTTTACTACTGCTACTACTGCTTGCCTGCGAGCTTCTTTTATTTTTCTCTGTACTTCCTCTTGTGTGTATGTGTGTTCGATTTTGGCATTCCAAATTCCTATTCTATCGGTATTTCTTTCCTCCGCCTGTTATACTACACTTCATAGAGAAAGCTCCTTTTGTCCACCGTGTCACCTACCCGCACGGCATGTGACTGATGACGTCAGCATAAAACCGTAGTTAACTAGCTACACCAAGTATCCTCCAACGTGGAGTTGTATAGTTACCTCCGTTTGTGCACGAAACCTATTGTCTTGTCTATTTGGTGATCCCAAGCTCACTCCCGCTTGATCATCGTGCTATCCCACACGCACCCCACAAGGGAGACAGACATGAACTTACATCTCCAGAATCCCCCGCCAAGAGACTCATCTGAAGGCGAAGGCGCAATCTCTAATGCGCCGGAGCCTACAACATCCCCACGCTCCTCCACATCTATACCGACACCTATTCCAATGGACAGTAGCAGTGGCCGCAATGCTGACTCCGCCCCGTCCTCCTCCCACCCCATCTCATCCCATTCAGTCTCGATAGTATACACACCAGATTCTCTCTCCCAATCACCCACGCAGACCACTGCCAATCCGCCAACAGCTGTGGATCCATTATCCCCTCTGCCACCAGCACCAGGACAGACGCCAGTTCCTATCCTACCAACTCAACCCGGAGCGGGCACAACCACCATGCACCCACCACCCATCCCTAACTCTATCCCCCCACCACCACCGAAAGCAGGCCAGATCCCAGCCGCCGCCGCCTCTTCCGCTTCCACCTCCCGATACCCACCAGCCCACCCCGCCCTGCAACAACAACAACAACAACAACAACAGCTACCACCCCCACCCCGGCCTCAGCACAACCAATCCCTCACCCACCCGCCCGGCTACATGCAAAACCCAGCCATAAACGATCCCCGCAGCGCACACACCTACACCTACACCTACACCCACAACTACCCCTACGGCGCCGCCTCCCCCGCCCCGCCAGCAAACACAAGCAACGTCGGCGGCAGCTGGCGCTGGGACGACGCCCCCGGTGGCGCGGGGGGGAGATATGTATATCAGGACGGCAGGGGGTGGCCGGGGCCGGGGCCGGGGCCGGGGCCGGGGCCAGACGATGTCGATGAGGGTGCGTGGCCTGGTGCGGCGATGTGGCGGGGCGCGGTGGAGTTGGTGAGGACGGCGGGGAATCGGCTTGCGGAGGCGGAGGCGGGGGTGTGGAGGTGGGTTAATCGGCGGTGAGGCGGGCTTGTGGGATTGGGAAATGGAGGAGGGTTAAGGGGAGGGGGAGCGGGAGCGGGGAATGGGGTAGGAGGTAGGAGGTGGAGTTTGTACATTATGGGTTGGGGATTGGTTGGGTTGGCTCTTTGGATTTGGATGATATCGGGCTATTATTATTATATCTGAATGGACGTTTGGTTTGGGTTTGGAGTATCATGTTATTGTATGAACTTGATTTGTATGATATGGGTACGCTTTTGAGACACCTCCTCCCCCTTGAACATTGTTCTTCTTTCTTTCTCCTGCTATTTTTTTCTTTTTTCTGTTTAAACTTCAGAATTCTCTTCAACACGCAGCAACAAAAAAAATAAAATAAAATAAAATAAAATAAAAATAAAAATTTTTAAAAAGAAGATGAGGTTTGTTTGCAGTTTGAAATAAAACGATCTGGTGCCACTTTTCCACAAGTAGTCAGAATAACGCTATACCGAGATACAGCCGCTCATAATCCTCCAATGAATGACTGAGCGCAGAAAGTGTGCGATATAGCTGCTAAACTATACAAAAGAAAGTCAAGGTATATAGTATATATTTATGTGTAAAGGAAACAAGAAAAATAAGGAAGTAAAAGCACTGTGCAGCCATGCATATTCAACTAAAACAGGAAATATACGTTATATACCTACATAAACAGAAACAGAAAAAAGAAGCTGTATGTGCCATATATCTATAACTAATATGTAATATATCATGAAAAAAATACAACGTATAGAGGTAATGTATACACAGTATACACAGTATACACAGTTTATATATAAGGTTATGTACATCATGCAGCAAATGATGAGGGGTGATAAAACTCACAGAAGAATATAATCAAAGGATCAGAGATAAAATGAAGAGAAAAGCAGTATGTAAACCCTCAAATCAATTCTAGATAGTTTCAATGTGTCATTAAAAAGAAAAAGAAAAGAAAGGAAAAGAAAATTCATAAAAATCGAAGTACTCAAGCATCAACTCAGTACTGTACATTTAAGACGACCGAGGCAGTGGAAGAAGGGCGAAGAAGAAACAGATCAGAGATAAGTTATGAACAGAATGCAAGGGGCAAGGAAAATGATATTCAGAAAAAAAAAAGAAAAAGAAAAAAAAACTTAGTGCAATACAGTTAAGATGACCAAGTTTTTGCACCGTTTTCTTTTATTTCTCTCCATTATTTTTCTCTTCTTCTTCTCTCACTGATTTATTGATGCTTCAGCTCCTCCTCTTTTTTTAATCTTTTATCTTTTTTCTTTGTTTTTTTTTTCCGCGTGCCGTTTTTCTCCATTTTTTGTTGTGTCGACATAAATCATGATGGTGTGTCTTAGGCGCAAGACAGATTCATGAACGGCTAATACATGCAAATAATATATCAACCAAAGACAGTAAAAAGGAGAAAATTAAAGAAAAATGAAATGATAAAAGAGATAAAGGAGAGACAACATAGGAAAAGACAAATAATGAAGGACAAAGAGCTCATGCAAATGGGGAAAATACGGGGGGCCATTGAAGACGTGGAAGATTTAAAAGATGCAATGTCGGGTCGAGAAAAGATAAGAGAATCCCTGACCTGCAGTAAACAAACGAGTAAATAAGAGGAAGGCCACCAAAGAGGTTATTGTTCTCTCTCAAGATATGGTTGCCACAGAATTGTCGGTAGCTGATGATCAAAGTCCTCAAAAATATTGAACGTAGAGATGGCCATAGAAGGGCGGGCATATCGTGCACAAAATGATATAAGAAATGGGAAAAAGAGACGTAAACCCGTACTTAGGCGCCGGAGTGGAGAGTAATGGGAATATGAAAGGAAACAAAGGAGGAAAAAAATGTAAAATGAGGAACACCAATAAGTCCAGGGACCCGTTAGAAACGGAGTTAGGTATGGAGGTTATTTCAACGCCTTGGTCATTGGACCCCCAACCAATATAGTTATTCTCGGATAAGAGTAAAAATAAGTAGGAAAAGAGCTAAGAAAAGTACAACAAAGGAAAATAATAATAGAAGGATAAGAGAAATAATTACCTCGTGTTAATGCATATGGGGATATAGACAAGTGAAGAAGAAAAGGAAACAATGAAAACATAAAACGCCATGATAATAGAAAAAAAAAAAAAAAAAAAAGCCAAACCCAATGTTTCGCCCATATACCTTTCCCATCCAGTTTCCCACTTGAAAGGTCGGAGCGTTTTCCCTTGCCCCACAATACTGCCAGACTAGCAGGCATGTGTATGCGTATCGGAAAGGGACGCGTTGAAATGATTGACAATCGTGGGAAGTGAATAATAATAATGTAATAATAGTAGTGGCAGTATTAATAAAAATTAAAAGTGCAGTCTGGTCCGGCCCGGCCCAACCAAGGAAGAGATAGATGCGGGAATGAAGATGCCGTTATGTTAAAATAAGTGATTAGGTAGGTTGATAGATCTGCGTGTCGAACGGGATGTAAAAAAAAGTATAAAAGAGTGGTGGTTACATAGAACCGAGTTGCAAGAGCGCTTCAACTGCTGCTCGTTCTTCGATATCGACTGGTTGAATGGGAATGCCACCAGGCACAGATTTTGTGAGAGCCGAATAGGAGGGTCCACCACCATGGCCCCGAACCCTGCCTTTGGAGTCAGCCGCATAGGTGGTATAATCATAGTAAGCATTGGTGTTGTTGATGTCAGTACCACCCCCAGGGACACTAGGGTAAGACCTGGCCCTGAGGGCGGCAGCTCCAATCTGCGCCCAGTCCTCTTCGTCCGTGACGTCTGCCTCGTCCCAATCGCCGTCCATAGGTATTTCATCCTCAGGGGTTTCGGACGAGGAACAGTATGACGCTCGATCATCTCCGTCGAGTGACATTTTGTCGGCTTCGTGCTCCAACATGGTGATATCTTCATGGTCTTTGCAGTCGAAGTCGGAGTGAGAGAAAACAACAGAATCTCCTGCCATCGAGGATCCGTACTGGCCAGAAACGTCGCGGAGCCCTCGACCAGCGGGGATTTGGATCCTGTGGGAGGATGGCACACTGCCTGGAGGAGATGTTGGCCCATCTTTGGTAAGTCTGGGTGGTTGGTTATGACGTCGTGCATCCCACCTGCCCCATCCAACCTTTTCAAACTCAACGCCTCCATCGACTCCAGCACCTTCACCATTTCCCCGGCTTTCCAGGGCTCCTACAACAAGTCTACGTGCTTTAGCTGGAGGGATCCTGGAGAAACCTGGTACTGACGTAGTCAGGTAACCGATAATATGTCGTATAGCCAAAGGGCCATGCGTCAGAAGGATATCGGGGAGGTGGTGTTTGGCCAACATTCCAGGAGAGATCGCATCCGACCCAGCGAGGGAGCTCAGATTCTCTGCCACCAAGGGGGGATGGTGATGCTGGTCCTGGCCTTTGGCATGGTCGACTGCATCCTGCAGGTCGATATCAGAATCGACATGCAAAGGGACATAGGGTGGCGAGGCCGGCAGGTTCGAGTGGTGACGTTTGAAACCATGGGGATTTATGTTAGGGGAGAGGGAGTTGGGAGGCGTAGGTAACATGGTAGGTTGACCATGGTGACGAGTTGGAACAGCAGCCAAGCTGTCCCTGCCATAAGAGAGGCAACTACCACGCGGTTTGGGGATCTCAACAGAGGCAGTCTTGCCAGCAAGTGCCATGGCAATGCTGGACGAAGCTGGGCGAGTCGCCATGATTGCGGATACAGAAGGTGGATGGTTGATATTCTGTTCAGTTGGAAGCATCAGGCGACATATGTTAGCCGTCGAATCAACGGGAGCAGTTTTGGTACATGAAAAATTAAATATCAGAAGAGGCGGAGTTATGATGATAAAGAGGGGAAAGACACGCGTGGCATTGGAATAGAGCCAGGCGCAGTTGCACGAACAAAAGAGGAATATGGAAATAGATAGAAAATACCCACCACTCGAGAATATCCCCGCTCAAAAATTTATGATGGCGAGGAGACAGACGAAGATGAGCGGGATGGCTCAGGTTCAGCTGTATGCGACACAGGACAAGGGCGGTTTGTGATCGCGAAAGGGAGACCGAAGGACAGTCTCACTTGGAAAGGAGGATTGATTATGTAAAGTAGAAAGGGAATATGAACGAGAAGAAGTGAAAGGCCGAGAAGATGAAAGAAGAAGACAAAGAAGAATGAAACAACGAGAAGGGAAGACGATGGGCGATTTCAGTTAGTATACGAGAACCAGCAACACTTCGCAGATAGAACTTGTTTGGATGAGATGAGGTTGAAGTTGGCTGAAAGATGGCGACGGCGGACGAGAAAAGGACGGGGAACCTTGGATGGGTTAGTCAGTCACGTAGTTATGCCTTAGTCAGGCGTCGCTGCGGGACTCCTGTTCTGGTTCTTCTGTATCAGGGACGGGACAAGGGACAATGGGGCCCGTTGCCGGTGGAGTACTTCCCCATACAATCCACTATGGAGCGGTACCTTAGCATTGGCCCGCCCCATGGGCCCAGCCAAACCACGTGATCCCACGTGAGCGAATCAAGCGTGCTTTTTTGGACGATAAAGGCCCAAGGATGAGGAAGGACAATTGGGTCCCGCAATCCTAGGCAATGATTTCGTGATGGAGACCGCTCGTTCTCGACTACTCTGTGGGCAGATATGCTCAAGACACATGGACGGAGTGGGGAGTCTGAGAGCATACCATGGTTACGAGGTGGCTGCACCCAGGTATTTACTTCGGGATTTGTCATTTGGTTGATGTAGCTTCTTCCTATTTTTGAAATCAGACTTTGCCTTCCTGATGAATCACGCGTAGCATTTGAACTTCAACTTCACGATCCATCCTCGGCTAGCCGTGTCTGCTTGAAACTCAATCATTCGTGCAGCGCGGAACGAACGGTGGGGTTTGTTCCAAATCCCTTCTCATTTTCGTTCGTAGAAACATACATACGATGCAGCCCATATCAAAAACCCTTTCCCAGACCCCTCCAGCCAGTCCAAGCCTGCCAACACCACACACATCCGTGTGGTTGGCTTGCGGCCTTCGGCCTTTCTCCTCGAGTCTGATCCACCCCTCCAAGACATGGAGGTTCAAATTACATCATGCATTCCTCGCGCTGAAAATGCTCGGCTGCTCAAAGCAGTGAAAAGCGCATCAGCCAGCAACAGAGAGAGAACACACTCCGCTCTTCTTCTCTGTTATTGGCTGGCCCGACGGTGGTTAGAGCTCTTTTCCGACCCAGCAGCCTCGGTCAGCGAAGCCTGGGGAAGAGTGTTTTCCACGAAACTCCCCAAAGCCCCATTTTGCGGGCGCATGGGCCAATCGATGAGGACCCAGCTACTTCGGCACCAAATGGGCCATTCCCACAATTGACATCAAACAAGATGTCTGGATGGCTCATCCAGGAACTCTTCTTTATCCGCCCCGAAAACAAAGTAAACAAACACAGGTACCCAAGGTAGGTACAGCACATGTGGGCTATGTGGCCAATTTTACTCGCTGGGAAACAACATGTAATGAAGAGTTTAACGTTACTAGTAGGCCATTGAACGTGCACATCGCACTGGTGTGATTTTCTATTTCTTTATTTTTGCCAATCGTGACAGGATGACAGTATGCGAGATAACTGTCTCAAGAGGGACAATAACCAAAGCGTATACAATACACAATTAAAAAAAAAATAAAATAAAATAAAATAAAAATAAAAAAATAAAAATAAAAAATAAAAATAAAAAATTCCAATTGGGAAGGAGATTCGTCAAATTGAAGTGTGGATGCTGTCGGTGGTTGACTGGTTGCCTTGCATGATCGCTACATTCAGTGGAGCTTTCAACTGATGGGCTGCATTTCAGCAATATTTCCGATGGAGGCCAGGTATGATGGATGAATGCATTGTGAAAATGAGGAATATACACGCGCAAATACCCAACCGTTGTTCCAACGAGCATTTCTTTTGGCTACCCCATCATCGCTTCAAAAAGTATACCAATAATAATAACAAGTCTACGGTGCCTGTTTGCCCTGCCCCGCCCTGCTTTTTTATCTTTTGTTTTGCCCTCACCTCATTCGTCTCATTTTTCATCCCCACCCACATTCAGAAAATTTACCAGAAAATTGAAGAAAATACCTTGGGGGAGAAAACAAGCTTTACTCTAGAGACTGTGGATTTTTATGTGCTTCTAGAGTCAACGTACGTAGAGAGGAGAAAAGAAGCCTAAAACCCAAGAAACAACCAGACTGATATCATCATAGAGACAATAACTAGCCTTTCTTTTTTCCATATATAGCTCCTCCTGAGGTACTCGCGACTACAACCTCGTTAGGCTTTTTATATATTAAGGGTTTAGTTTCATAATTTGATCATGACCTGAGTAGTAACGAAACGTGTCTCGAAAAGGGAGTTTCAATTCTTGTTTCATTCCATTTCATTAATTTTAAGAAAGGATCATTGTCTTGAGAAACCTGAGCTCTAGGCCCGTCATCCACACTATGAACTAATTCTGTGAGGGTGATGTAGTCAAGGCAGGTAGAACAACGAGCCTGGTCATAGCTCTAGGAAGTTAGCTCAATGGCATGAGTCCGATGGGGAGATGAGAACTTTCTTACTCCCCCCCCGTTCTACCCATGCTGGTTCTCGTCGGGGAAGCAGATGTGGAAAAGAATCCTGTCGCGGACGGACGAGGGTAGGCCTAAGCAAAACTACCAGGCCCGAGAGAGGTGTATTGTAGGTAGGTAACCCATTAAATAGTTGTTCAAAGAGCGGAGCAGAAGATGTACGGCCCTAGCAGCACGCATATTCAGATATCAACCGCCCCGACAACATCTAGCTCCCCCTCCCCTTTCCCCCACTACCCCTTCCCGCCCCGCCCTTCGGATTCCTCGCCTTCAACATCCACTCTGGCGTCTCCAGCACTAGGCCCCCCTGCTCCCTATCCCATAAGACTCCTAGCCCATTCTTCCTCTCCACAACAACATCAAAAAACTCCAACCCAACTCCCTTCCGCCCAGCAACCCCAGGCTCGGCCCCCTCCCCCCCAATCCCCAAATCCACCCCCTCACTCAAAATAACTCCATTCTCGCTTCTCCAAAACGGCACGCCGGCCTCCAACGCCTTCTTCAAATCAATATATATCAGTATCTGCGCATCAGCTCGCATCCCGGATATCACCCCGCCAGCACCAGCACCAGCACCAGCACTCCTATCACGCACAACAATAGATCCCCCGCGCCCTTCGGGTAATACACTGGATAGCGCCGGCCCCGTGGCGAAATGTATGTGGTTCCTGCTCATGCATCGTAGGCCGCCAGAGGCGAGTATCAACGGCCAGGCGGCATGGTAGGTGCCGTGCACGACGGTGTCCGGGAGCGCGGGAGCGGAGGAGTTGGCGGAGGGAAGGGAAAGCTTTTCGAGGAGGGAGGCGGCTTCGACGGTTTTTATACTGTGACCTTGTGTGGCGCGGATGAGGTAGTGGGTGGGTTCTGGGTCGTTGGCGGCTACGGCTAGGGCGGTTGCGGTTGCGGTTGCGGTTGCGGTTGCGGTTGCGGTTGCGGTTGCGGTTGCGGTTGCGGTTGCGGTTGCAGTTGCAGTTGCAGTGGAAGAGTCGTGCTCATCTTGCTTGCAAGGGTCTGTGGGTGGTGTGGTTGTAGTCTCCGAGTCATCATCATGCGAGTGTGAGGGTTTATACAGGAGACCAAACCGCTGTTTATCGGAGGTGGAGACCGCGTTTAGAATTTCTGGGAAGGTGACTTTTAAGGATTTCAGTTTCCGCCATGCTAGCTATGGTGTCAATTTGTGTGGTCCTGTTAGCGTTTCTTCTTTTCTTTTCTTTTCATTTTTTTGGGGGTAGTTTTTTGAAACTTTCGCTATGAGGGGTGGTGCCATTTGATGCTTCCTTCTGATGGGTGGAGGGACATCATACCAGATCAGCGACGTTGGCATAACCATGCCTGTCAATTTTCAACCCTTCTCTTTCCGCCGCGTGCCGTAAGATGTAGCTTAATGCCTTCGAAACGACTACCTCGCGACTGAGCTCGGAACGCCCCTCTCCGCGCCCACGACCCCGTCCCCGGCCAGAATGGGACATGCGAGCAGCGCTATTCAACCCAGTAATCGATAGCTGTTTGAGAACACCGAATCGAACCAGCCGATTTGCGTTGCACGACGGCTTTAGATAAAAGCGCTTTGTATCTGTTTGTAAAAGAAAAATAGCTTGTCGGTTTTATCTGTTGCAAATGAGAGCGTTTGGCGTGGGTTAAGGCAGTGAGTCATTGCGGAGCTGGTAGTGGAGGGGTTAGTTAGCGGGATCTAAAAATTGATAACTATGAGGAACGAAAACGAATTCCCGCTTTGAATATTTGGCGGCCTTCTAGCGCCTGACGATTGGAATTCTCTCCTTCGTTACAGGATTGAACGAAGCACATCATTCATTTACGAGGAGTCGTTAAAAAATTATTTAGCCACGGTTTTAGGTTCAGCAATTCCATGTGGGTTATATAGCTACATCGTTGATAAGGACGGCGATCCCAAGCGCCATAGAAAAGTCGACCTATTAAGTTACCATCAAATGGTAAAAGACGATTTTAAACAGATTCCGATTTGCGCGGAATACTTCCAGGGGTTATCTCGGAATACTTCATTCGTAACAACGGAGAACCACCAACACAAACGACATCGCTATACCAAAGCCTAACTAACATTGCACGAATCCGCCAAAAAAAAAAAAAAAAGAAAAGAAAAGAAAAGAAAAAGAAAAGGAAAAAAGAAATAAAGACACATTTCATCGGTCACATATGCAGTGACATTCAGCAACTGGACAAATCCTATGCTTTTTGAACCAGTCCTTGCATGGTGAGCATGGAATCCATGATTGCAATTAATGCAGAAGACTACAAACCTTTTCATCACATCTTCTGGAGGTGTCTCACTTGCTTGCTTGCTCGTACTTCCGCTAGCAATACCAGCTCTGGACATCGGATCTGCGGTGCCTAACCATAAAGAACAAATCCCGCATCGGGGCATATGTCGCCCACACTTTGGGCAGATAGTACCTGACTGGGATGCGGTGCCGAGGGGGCTTGCCGTCATTGAATGAACGATTTCCACGCCGGTCGAGGGGAAAACCGGGTAGTCAGGTTCATCCTGCTGGGAGAGAGGACGAGTACAGTAGTTGCATGTCAAACTGATTTGTTGCGGTGGTGGTTTTATGAGTCTGTGGCCATCCCAAGTGACTGCCAACTTCCGTGATTCAACGTCAAACCTAGCCCTATCTAGCTGGAGTTTCCAGGCATTCACTTGCCGTCGATACGTCTCTCTCCAGGCTTCAAATCGGATACTGTTTGGTGGATCGGTAATGAATCGCGGGACAGTATGGCTCATAGCAAGAACAGGTGTTTGAATGTCGCCAAACTTGTCTATGTAAGATTGGAATAGACCCATTGCTCCATGGTCAAGGCCAGTAAGGATGACTCCTTCAACATCCCCTTGGCGTATTGCATCCATAGTCGCATCCCGCAGGTAAGAACTTAACTCGTTGTCGGGAAGCCAGCGGAGAGCAACCTCCACTCTATATCTTAAAGGAAGGGTGACCTCCTTAATCACAGAATTCCAGTCACCTTTGCTCATCAAAGCTAAAATAGCCCGAGCGTAGGGGTCTGTGAGCTCCTGGGCGATTTCCCTGCATGTCTCCTCCCAGTCGGGGTCGTTTTCCCCTTTCGTCGCGCCGGTAATAGCCATGGCGAGAAGTTTATGTGCCTGAGTAGGATGATTTTTCCTAAGAGCCAAGAAAGCTAATTTCGGTTCGTCCTGGAAGAGTGCCAGTGCAGCAGCCTTAGTATGTTGACGAGCTTCTACAAGATTGTTCACCGCTGCTTCCAAATCAGCAATAGATTCCGCAGCTCCAGCGATGCGAAGGCATAGACGGCGGTGAGCCGGGAATCGAGTTGCGCATCCTTTTCCTTCTGGAATGCGAAGTTCCTCTGTGAGGCCTATGATGAGCTGATCTATATCGATATTTTGGTTCAAATTAGATCGGGATACGCGATTCTCAAGGCTCTGACCTATGCTTTATGTTAGAATTTTTTCGGTGAAATTCACAATTCCGGGTTATACGAACCAAAGCTCTTATTCCATATACTATATACACCAATATAATTCATATCCACGGAATGGATGATCATAGAATCACTGGCCGAATTTTCCCTGGCGCCTATTATACTCAGCTAAAGGCTAAGAGACAAAAGAAGGGGAAAACGTACGCCCTACCCAATCCCAAAACTCCCGCAGTCCAGGGTCGTCAGGGAAGAACTCTTTGTTCGTCTCGCCGTCGAGGAGGTAGCCCTCTTGACATCGTAATCGAGGAATGGACATCCAGGCTAAAGCGTCATGGATTGTTAATGGAGTGTCAAATATTCCCGCGGATAAAGATCTTTCAAAACTCTCTCGGCCAGAGATATACTGAGTGACATCTGGTTTAGTGCGATAATCCGCTGACTTTTGGTCCTGGCCATTTTTATTATCTGTTTTGGCGACTGAACTGCCGTTCGGTTGAGTGGTCGGTGATGCACAACGGCCCTGAATTCTTCGCATAGTTTGAGATATTTGCGAATGGGATTCTGATGAGGGCCTTACACAGCTCAAATTTATGTTTTTTTCTGAAATATCTCCACGGACTAATACACTTTGGGAAGAAAGAGCCACAGGACATGGCTGCGATTGAATTGTGAATAGAGAAACAGACCGATTGGCCAAAAGTGTAACGGTGGTCGGTTCACTCGACGTGCTGAAGTTCAAAAAGTCAAAAGATGCTACTTTCCCATCACGAGGAAGGTGAGGGTTCCGAAAATCACGGACTGTCTTCGTGTAAATATGTTCGTGGTACGATTTGGCGGAATATCGTCCCAGGGTTTGATCTTCTAATGACGTTCGGATTTCGTCTGAAACATATTCTTTGACAACATCATACGCCTTGAAGTCCCCATCACTAGACAGCATCCCTAGGCACCCTTGTTTGGTTCTGGAGAACCGTAGACTCCATATCGAGGATTTTGGGTCAATAACATTTTTAAACTCAAGAGCTGCCGCAGTCTGAGTGGAGTCCGTAGTTGGGAGTGTCCCGGATGAAAATCGAGGTCCCCAACGGCGATCCCAAATACAGATGGAAATATCTCCCGTTGGATTGCACGACGCAATGTAATTTTCATCCAACCAATCAACGGCTAAATTATGTACACAGCGGGTGGGAAATTGTAAAGATGGGTTTCCTGGACCCTCTACAACCGGGAAATGTACCAGTCAGGTAGTGAATAATTCAAAAAGTTGGAGATCACACATACCTCGTAAATCGTAAATTCTGACGAACTGGCCTTTGACTCCTGCAACTATGGTATCTGGTTGGTCTTTGAAGAACTTGATACTGCTAATGGGCTCCGAACTCGCAAGCTTCCAGAGTGGCTCTAACGCGTGTCTATCGGATCCGTAACCTCGAGAACCGCTTACGGAGAGGCGCTGATTTACGTCCCAGATATTTAGGCAAAAGTCATTTCTCACTTTATCCAGCCCAGCCGCTAAGAGCCCCTGAGTACTAAACGCAACGGCATTGCAATATCTCTGATTCCGGATGGGGAAAACAATCGGAGCTTGGTAGTTATCGTCCATACGAAGAATAGCTGCCTCCCCCGACGCCAGACCAACAGCTACCAGGGTCTCGTCAACTGGAGACCAGTCAAATGCACGAAAGATGGGGACCCTGGAGTGCGAAGCGATCACATCGTAGGTCAAGCAAGCGCTATCTCTAGATGTCACCTTGCAGAGCTTGAACGATTTGACCAGGTTACATCGACATAGAGGAATTTTTGTCAACCGCATTGAGG